TTCCACTGCTGCACTGCAGCCTGTTGACAAAAACAACGAGAACAATGCGAGCAGCCACACATGGAGCCAAGGATATAGTTCGCATGGGTCGGGGGCACCAGAGGGTTAAGGGGCAACGTATCTCCACCGTTGTGACAGCGAAACACTGCAATAAAAGTGGTGGCACGTTGGCACCGAGGGGTGGAATTTACATTTAGTTTATGAGTAGACAAGCGACGACAATAGTGGGGAAGAAGCATCCCTTTCAGACTTCTGCTCCACATTCAGCTCCTTCTGCATCTTCTTTAGCTGCTCCAGCTGAGTTACTGCTGGCACACTAAAAAAAATCGAAATGATTAAAAAATTTGAGGCAGATGTCAAATAATTTATTATTGGTTTTTCATTACTTATTGAGTTCCTTAACTAAATATGAAAATGTAAGAAAGTTCTATAAAATTGGATCAATAATTTCAAATTTAAATTCAAACTTTTTTTGAGAACTAGTGTATTGTTTACTGCAGTATTTTTCCTAAAGCAATATAAATAAAAACAAATAATACATACAAACTAATTTAACGCTAATGTAAATAAGTGATGTGTCTAGACAGATTCAAAAAACAAAAAAAAAAAAAAAAAAAAATGTATAAAAAAAGAATAAGATAAATTGAAATTTTTCTGTAGTTATGTACTTTTTTATAAATTTGATCATATATCATATACAGGGGTGGTCAAAAGTATTTTCACTAATGTTAATGTTAACTGTACTTATATTTTGAACTTATAATATAAACTTTTGGCACCTATAGAAAGAGCACTTCAATTCCTTTAAATGACACAAAAATTTCCTAACCCATTAAGACCCCTTTGAAAAGTGAGCAAATTTTGCGAAATTCAAATTTTCAACTTTTTCTGGCTTAAAATAAAAATGTTTTGATGCAAAGTTGTTCCCCAATCAAAATTAATAATAACTGCAAAAAAAAATTTCAAAATATTTTCCTTGTATTTTTATGATTTTTTAATGGAGACCTCTCAGTAAAATTTTGTATGAAAAGGAAGAAAAAGCGGCAAAAATAGCTATTTTCAAAAAATCATAAAAAATACAAGGAAAAATATTTTGAAATTTTTTGACTAGGGTTGTATTTTATTTGAGACATTTTAGTTAAATACTTTCTTTTTTCAACAATTGGTAATGACTAAAGATCTAGAAAAGGAATTTTCTTTGTGTACCGTTTCCGCAGCGGTTGCTGCTGTTGTACGCCCAAAAGGTCATACACAATGAAATGCACAAATGTCAACATTTAACGGTCAAAATGGTCGCAGCAACAGCCAAGGAGAGCCCCACACAAAAGTGGGGGCAATGGGCACAGACTGGGCATTGTGTGGCTGCCAGGAAGTGGAATCACCACAGTCGACCTTAGCCAGCATTTCCAAGTTTAAAGTTTATGGCCCAAAAGAAAAGTCGTTGAGGACAAAGGACAACACAGAAGCAACAGGAGCAGCAGCCACCCACTCTCCTCATTTGGCAAGCAAACTAATCAGGTTGACAGAGAATACTGGCCATTGGATTTAGAGCCGAGAAAACCGGCAGGAGGGAAAATAGGCGGCGTGGCCGGTGGAAGATGCAACTTTATGATATTTGGCCGGAGCTTGAACCGTGCAACAAAGGTAGAAAGGATACTATAAATATTGATAGGCTTTTACACTTGAAATAGTCTTATAAATATATTATTTATAATAATTATTATATTATATTATATTTATAATAATTATTATATTATATTATATTTATAATAATTATTATTAATAATATATTTTTCAAAATTAAAGAAATCCTCTTCTGCTCCGATTCACTTCCATTTTTAATTTTACTTTCTCAGTAATTTGTTTATTATGTTTTAAATAAATACTTAATTATTGGAATTTACGAATAAATGAACTTCAAATAAGTCTCAATGGTATCACACAAGAATGTTCATTATTTATTAAATGCACTAAATGAAATGAATCTAAATGTTGGTTTGTAACATTCGAATTGCAGGACTATCAGGCAGCCCAATTAGAATGGCTTTTAAAAAATCTAAATAAAAGTGTGCTAAAATGGAAAGTTTTCGCATTGAAAAGTCGCATTGTCATTCTCCGTCTCATTCCTTGCCTCCTGTTTCGTCCCTTTCTGTTTGAGCTACCTTTCTTTCTCACATGTTTGGGGAATAAGGGACCTTTTGTGGCAGTTCAATCGTAATGAACTATGCACAAAAATGACCTCCAGTCACAGAATGTTGTTGGTGGACAACACAGACCAACAAGTTTTCGCTCTTTGTCGCATTTTCCGTTTTTCTCTGGACAAATTACATTTGGGTTGTGCTGGACAATGTTTTCCAGGCTTGCCACCAGCTGCCAGTGGACTTTCTTCCGCTCTTTTTAGCAGAAGGTGTGGGCTGGCATCCCACACAAGTGCAAAGAGCCCTAAAATTATGTCTAGCCAGGAAGCAAACTTTTTGTCCTTTGTCCAACACTTTATTAACGCAACAGCTACGGCAAAAAAAATGTATTTAAAAGGACTTTAGAAAAGGGTTTTACACTCAGCTGAGATTTTTGGGGTTGTTATTACTTTGAGTTTTTATGAACCTTAAGTTGCGGAGGGTTGATAAATATTTTAATGATAACCAGTCGCACTTCTTTTAAAAATAAACTATTTAAAAAGTTAACAAATTGTACGAAATTGTGTTAAATCTGTTTAAAAGATTATGTTGGTCAAATCTTTGTTCTGCATTTTACTTGTGAGAACTACTAAAAATTTTAAGAGGGAACAAAGCCTGCGCTTTTTTTTATTGATATAAAATATTGACGAAATGTCACACATGAGTTTCTTTTAGAGCCAGTACCATCAATTTAATATTAATTTATTTAAAATTTAAACTTTTATATTTATACGTTTTCTTTAATATTTAAATTTTGGTTGGGGTGACCAATTTACATGAATTGTCTTCGACAATTGTTAATGTACTTTGGACTCGGTTTGTCGGGACTGGCAGATGTTACCTATTTGGTTGCATTTGCAGGGACTGCATTTTCATTTCATTTTCATTTTCGAAGTGAATTCAGAGTCATGCATGTTTGTGCACTGGGCAAAATATACAAACACAAACAAGTATTTATATATTTCTTAACAATATTATTGTGTTCTTTTAAAATACATGTACATTTTAAATTTAAGAAAAGCTAAGTATCTTATTTATTACTTACAGTTACTATTAAATAATATATTTTACCATTTTATTAATATTTCTTTCTATCCAAAATTTACCTTATTCAAGTAACTTAATTATATTATTGTGAATAAGTTGATCATTTTCGAATAGTTCCGAATTTTTTAGATGTACTTTCAAAAGGGTTTCGAGTTTAATCACTTCATTAAGTTTTTTACCTACTTATATATTTTTGTAATTGTTGGCAAATCCCCCGATAGTATTGATTTTTTTCCTGTTTGGAGTTAGGGTTGGTCAGCCCAGACTTCATAATTATGGCAACTGGCAGACTGCATTGCATTGCAATGTGGGCCTAAAATTGTGCAGTAGCAGCATTTTAGACGGGGCAATGGTGTTTTAATGGGGCAACAGGGGGAGGAAACTTCTACACCAGCTGCGGCTGTCGTCGTCTTTTTGGAATTTAATTAAAGTTTACACAAGTAAACAAATGACAGTCTGCAGCCGCCAACATTGCAAGATATTTGTCTGCATTTGTGTATGTCTGTGTTGCTGCATCAGTGTTGGTTTCTGCTTCAGTGTGTAAGCGTGTCACATGGCCCCAGAGTAAGTGCAGAGCTGAAAAGACTGGCTAAAATTTTATTAAAGAAAACTCACACAACGCCAAGTGGAGGTAAAGTTTTCAGCGACAAAAATGTGTCGCATTCGGTAGGCATTGAAATAAATAAAAGTTTCAACGGGGGTTGATCGAAAAGATTATATAGAATACAAGATTTTTTAGATTTATGGAAATCGCTTTTGCTTAGTAAAAAATACTACACGATACTGTTATAATTTATTTATATATAAATAGTAATAACTTATAAATAGCAGTTATCGTTTCTCATAAATAGTATTTTTTATATTACCAATATTTACAAATTTAATACCTTTGACTAACTTAAAATTTAAGAGTTCGTTACATCGAATTTATTTCTAGACTGCAACAAATTGGTTTCGCTTGAACAATTTGTGAGTTAAATATTATATAGAGCGCCACCATTATTCAAATAGTTTATTTTTCATCCTAGCCTTAAAAGCCGAATATGTGGGGCTTGGAAATATGCATCCTGCTGGGATTTTTGATCCTCATCACACTCATCGACTGCAAGCATCATCGGCCAAGCCAAAGGACGTGGGGTTACATTGGATATTGGAAAATTTTGAAAGAAAAGCAACGAAATAAAGGAAATAAATAATAACATAAAATATTAAATTAAAAAATTTGTACAATTGTTACAATTTAAAATGGAAAATTTTATTCCAAAAGTTATTTGAATAATACAAAAAAAAGTCTTAAGAATATACAGTTGCGGTCAAAACAACAGTAGTTTAAAAATATAAAATGCTTTAAAAACATGTTCTTGCGGCATAACAAGACTTTTCTTTTAACTTCACATTATGTTAACCAAATTAGTTCAAATAATAAATCTTTATTTTTAAAAAAAAGTAATCTTAATTTTACTAAAAAATCTGTTGGTGTAACGCAAAGCAACGAATTTTCCAAATATGGTTGTTAAACTCATCCCCGTAATAAAATTTAAATTGGATTGGTGTTTAAACTTCAAAATAAAATTTTTCATGATTTTAACATGTGTGTCAATTTCCAACTCCTGGTTCATGGCCTAAAATTGAAATTTGTTACGATCCGTAATTGATTTTTTTTTATTAGTTATAAATTATTAGTTACGGGTCTGCAACAGAAAAGGGAAGCTTGTAAAATTTTGGATTAGGATGCTAACATCGCGGAAATGAATAAATAGACATACACATTAGGAAACGTTATTAGTTTACTATACAATCTAAATAGACGAGTATGAGGAGCTTGGAAAATTGCATTCTGCTGGGTCTTCTGATCCTCGCTACTCCTATTGATTGCCAGAAGCTGAAACAAGTTGACTGCACGGCCAATGGAACTCAAACAGAGTGTCCTACAGCATGTCCTGAAACCTGCGAGTACTACGGTCCAGGACAATGTTTTAGAATATGTGGAGCTCCTTGTGTGTGTAAGCCAGGATATGTGATCAATGCCAAGATTCCAGCCTGTGTGCTGCTCTCAGATTGCCCGAAAGGTGTAATTAGAACACCACATATGAAACCAAACCAAGTCATCGATAACTTCAAATGCTTTAGTATGAATAAGGACTGTTCGAAACCACAGTGAATGGTGATATAAACACTTTGATTAAAGTATTTTCAGTATCGATTAATGGTTATTTGGTCTTAGTTATTTAAGAGGGGAACGGGAAACAATTTAAAGCAATTAATGTTTGTGAATAAATTATACAAAAATAATAGTTTTTGAAGTTTGGGATACTTTTGGTGTGAATTTGATTGACTTTTAAAAGTGTCCCAACTAACACACTTCTTTTCAGATCGGCGTTTTTTGACACTTTTCAAACCATATTTGTATTTATTTTTCTTAAAAGTTTTTCAAACAAATAATATAAAACAAAAAAAGTTTATTGTTCCAACTTACAGACCTTTCACCTATTCTATTAGTTACACATTTTTAGTTTGTTAGCTCCACTTATTAGTTTTGCTTCTGGAACAGAAAAAAGAAGTTAGCAAATATTTGGATTAGGATGGTAGCATCGCGGAAATAAATAAATAGGCCATACACATTTGGAAAAGTTACTATTTTACTATCCAGTTTAAAGTCACAAGTATGTGGAGCTCGATAAACTGGATTCTGCCGGGTCTCCTGATTCTCTTTGCTCCTATTGACTGCTGGAAATTGCCACCGAACGCATGCACCGCCAATGGAACTCGAGCAGAATGTCCTACATCATGTCCTGACTCCTGCGAGTTCTACAGCTTAGGACCGTGCTTTCCACTGTGTGGAGCTCCATGTGTATGTAAGCCAGGATATGTGATTAATACAAAGATTCCAGCCTGTGTTCTGCTCTCCGATTGCCCGAAAGATGTAGTTAAAAAGACAACTAGGGTTCAACATATCGATCACTTCAAATGTTTTGGTCACAATTTTGACTGTTTGCTACCGCCGTAAATGGTACACTTTGGATTAAAATTTTTTCGGTACCGATTAGAAGTAGAGCTGTAAATGAAAAAGCCATTCTATACTTATTTGGTCTAACTAACTAATTATTTCAAATAAATCGTTTTTAAAAGATCGGGGTACTTTTGCAGTGACTTTGATTGACTTTTAAAAGTGTCCCACTAACACACCTCTTTTCAGATCGGCGTTTTTTGACACTTTTCAAACCAAATTAGTATTTAGTTTTCTTAAAAGTTTTTCAAACTTTTACTGTTCCAACTTACAGACCTTTCACCTATTCTATTAGTTACACATTTTTAGTTTGTTAGCTCCACATATTAGTTTCACTTCTGGAACAGAAAAAAGAAGCTAGCATCGCGGAAATATATAAATAGGCCATACACATTTGGAAAGGTTACTATTTTACTATCCAATTTTAAGTGACAAGAATGTGGAGCTCGGAAAACTGGATTCTGCTGGGTCTCCTGCACCTCTTTGCTCCTATTGACTGCTGGAAATTGCCACCGAACGCATGCACCGCCAATGGAACTCGAGAAGCATGTCCTACATCATGTCCTGACTCCTGCGAGTTCTACGGCATAGGACCGTGCATTCGAATGTGTGGAGCTCCATGTGTATGTAAGCCAGGATATGTGATTAATCCAATGATTCCAGCCTGTGTCCTGCTCTCCGATTGCCCGAAAGATGTAGTTAGAAAGCCAACTGGGGGTCAACTTATCGATCACTTCAAATGTTTTAGTCACAATTTTGACTGTTTGCTACCGCCGTAAATGGTACACTTTGGTTTAAAATATTTTCGATACCGATTAGAAGTAGAGCTGTAAATAAAAAAGCCGTTCTATACTTAATTGGTCTAAGTTATATAAGAAAGGACGGGATACAATCTAAAACTAACTAATTATTTCAAATTAATCGTTTTTAAAAGATAGGGGTACTTTTGCATTGACTTTGATTTACTTTTAAAAGTGTCTCAACTTGCAAGCCACCTTCGCAGATCGGCGGTTTTAGACACTTTTCGAACAAAATTATTTTTTAGCTATCCCTTGGAAACCCTTTTTCCAAAAGTTTCGTCACTAAAAAACTTAATGTACAAAATTTTGGAGTCTGAGAAACTCGATTGTCATAACTAGACATCGAATTTAAGGTAAAAACATTTTTTAAACGAGCAGTCCAACAATTTTTTGAAGTGCACACAAAATTGTTTCATGTAATGTAGATTATTTTTAACGCGGCATATCATTGCAAATTTGCCCTTGTTCAGTTTTTTTAGCCTACAAACGAAAAAAAAACCTCAAATCCGATGTCTAGTCATAACTTATACCCCTCTCACCTATTCCATTAGTTATACATTTTTAGTTTGTTAACTCCACGTATTAGTTTCGGTTCTGGAACAAAAAAGGGAAGCTAGCAAAATTTGGATTAGGATGGTAACATCGCAGAAATAAATAAATAGGGCATACAAATTAGGAAACTTTATTATTTTACATCCAATTTAAATAGACGACTATGTGGAGCTTGGAAAACTGGATTCTGCTGGGTCTCCTAATCCTCTTTGCTCCTATTGACTGCTGGAAATTGCCACCGAACGCATGCACCGCCAATGGAACTCGAGCAGAATGTCCTACATCATGTCCTGACTCCTGCGAGTTCTACGGCTTAGGATTTTGCAATAAAATGTGTGGAGCTCCATGTGTATGTAAGCCAGGATATGTGATTAATCCAAAAATTCCAGCCTGTGTCCTGCTCTCCGATTGCCCAAAAGATGTAATTAGAAAGCCAACTGGGGGTAGAGTAATTCGCCACTTCAAATGTTTTAGTATGAATAAGGAGTGTTTAATACCACAGTAAATGGTGATATATACACATTGATTCAAATATTTTTGGTACGGATTTACCCTTACGAACTGCTATATTTTTTTCCTTCCGACTAGAAATTGACAAATCTATGATTGATTTTCTATGGAGCTGGAGATATTACGCTCAACACAATTCTCAGTTATATTCAGGCAGTGGAACTAAATTAGTTTAAGACCATTAATTATATTCGTTTCTTCACATTACATCTTGGTTACTTTTTTAAAGAAAGAAATTGATAAAACACTTTAGGATATATTTTAATTAAAAGGCAACGTGAGCCAAAATTATTATGTGGAAGTTGGAAATATTTGCCGTCGTGGGATTGATCATTTGCTCGGTTATTAATTGCTATGTTGAGAAGATCGACTGCACCATAAATGGAACCCAGGCCGATTGTCCCACAGCTTGTCCAGAAACTTGTAGGTACATGGGCAAGGACAACTGCCTTTTGATATGCGGAGGTCCTTGTGTCTGCAACCCAGGATATGTTATCAACCGGGATATTCCCGCATGCGTCCTTCGCTCCGATTGCCCACACGATATAATACAGGAAAGAGGAGGACGTAGAATGTCGAATTTCGATTGCTTTAGTGGAGTAAATACTTGTAGTGCTCTAAAAAATTAATTCTTATTAAAATAGTTTATAGGCCTATTGACATTACGAGACGATACACATAAAAATACACAATAATAAAATTGTATTATATTTTTTAAAACAAAACTTTAATATCTGCCCTTCTCAACATTTTCTCAACTGACTGTTAATGGTACACGTGTGCGGTACATTTGTTGCTTTCAACGATGATGATGCACCAGCAACCACAAACCGTTTGGTATTTTTGCTGCTCTGCAGCAGCGTAAAACTAAAATCCCCGAATTATACAACAAAAAATTAATTAAACACAATTTAGTTTTGTCCCATAGAGATGAACGTGAGCCGCAAAAAACCGCGTTGCGCGAAAATCGCTGCGGTTACTATCCACATATACTATATAGCTGAAAAAGTACAGTGAAAACTTCATAACTAATACAAAAATAAAAATAAATTGTTTCTATGGTACTACCAATTCTTGTATTAATTTTATTCTTACAGCTTAATATGTTTTTAATATATCTTACTTTTTGAACAATACGTGAGCTTTAGAAGTAAATCAAAAGTATTATAAGTTTTATTATAAAAAATTACAAACATTTAATAAATGTTAAAAGTTCCTTATAGTTCTTTTATTTTACAATAGTACCAGTCGTTTTCATTTAGTGTAAAAACTACTAATAAGTTGTTGTTATTTTTAAAAAAGGTGTTCAAGCAAGATATTGGAAATTATTTAAACTTTTTAATAATGTTTAACATTATAGCGTACGTAGCGTTGCAACAGTGGAAGCTTTACTGTAATCTAGAGCGAAAGAGACAGCGACAGCAAAATTATTGTTATGCAAAGCCATGGAAAAAAGGGCAACGAAAAAGTGACCACAAACAGAAAAAAAGATCCCGGGGACAGGGGCCTCGTTTGAAAGGGGCGGATAGGGTTAGCCAGGGGGTAACGAGGGCTCTTTGCGGCTACTTGACTTAATACCTGCAATAATTATTATAACGATGCAGAGAGTGGGACAGGGGAGGGAAACCGAAAGAGAGCAATTCTTTTTATGCAATAAAAATACATATAGCAGCCGGCAAACAAAGTTTGAAACGAGCCCATAAAAATGGCCAGGATAAGCACTTGGACTTTGCATCGAGCGATTTATTTTTTATTTATTTTTATTCATTTACTTTTTTCCGTTGTTCGCTTACACAATAGGATTTATTGCGGAAAGATGTGACTTTGCGAGGACTTTCCCGTTTGCAATTTCTTTAAAAATATATTTTTGTAAACTGAGCATATACAATTTGAATATTCCAATTCCATTTTTAATTGCTATGTATAATCTTGGACTCCAATAAATAAGTAAAAGTTAAATGCAGTCATTTTTTTCATTAATTTTTTAAAATGAAAAGTTTTTTACTTTAAATTCCTTTTTTTTCTGTTGTAGGTCCTGACTTTATTTCTAGCATATTTTTTCGTTCATTTTATATAAGTTTATGTCAATATTTCAATAGCCCAAAAATCGTAAAAGTAAATTTACTTGCCCTATTTATGGGCGTTTTTTTATGGAAAACGATTAGGGGAATCCCTTTGACCAGCGCGACCGTATTTATTCGAAAATGCCATTTGAATATGGAGCGCCCGTGGGCTTTTCCTCCGTTCTCTTTGCTCACGCCTTTCATTAAATTCAATTTAAAAAAGAAAATTTTTAGTGCCCTGCCATAAAAATAACAACCAACAACCAAAAAGGAGCCCGGGGCAAGAGCCAAAAAAGGATCTACGGATGACGACAACGTATCGCGAAGGTCATCAATTACAGGAGGTTCGCCAACCCCTACCCCTAAGCCCCTGTTCCCTTTTCCCTTAACACCCCCTTACCACTCTTGCCGACAACAACAACAACAAGCAGTTGCAAATAACTTGGCTGAAGCCTCACATTATCCGGCCATAAGCACAAGTAGGAAGCTGGTCCTTCAGTCTGGATCCCTTTTATTATTTCTTTTTATACCCTTTCAAGAGGTATGCTTAACTCATCGTTTTAAAACCTGGAACAAAAGATACCAGGAATTATATCTTAAAAATATAACTGATTAAAACGATTTAAATTGTTATTTTTATTACTATACCTATTATATAATTGTATTACATAAAGTATGCTATAAATGTAGCATTAAATAAAAGTTTAAGCAAATTGGATAGAAGCTTTAAACTTTGTAATCCCTCTATCTAAAAATAACTATTTTCAATACAATTTTTCTAGAAGATCGTATATATTGTGATAGATTGTTACTAGGCCCATAAGGGTATGTACTTTTCGTTTGTCCAAGGCTATATTTTTTCAATTTTTGTTCGGCTCATCGTGGGGTAAAAACAAAAATGAAATGCTCTGCAGATATTTCAAAAGCCATTGACACCCTTTCGGCGAGGCGTGGCCTCTGCGGGGTTACAGGCAATGCCTCGGCTTGGAGGCCTGCCTTTGAAAAGCTGAATGACCAAATAAATCATATCAAAGTGTCATATAAAAATCGTAATCAGATTTTGAAGCGCACACACACACAGACGGAGAAGGAAGGACGCAGACAAGAAATATGCTGCCAGGCCTCGCATACCCACACTCGTACGTTTTCCGTAAGCCAACTCCATTAAAAGTGCTTATAAATAAGGTGCTTGAAAGGCAAGTGCACACACACACATGCACACTCCGCCGAGAGGGACACGCACACAGGCACAGACAATGGACATACATACATAGGACCATAACCAACAAACGCTGCACCCAATCCTGATATATCCCCAAAAATGGTCACCCAAAGCGGGAGATGACAGCGTGTCTGATTTCCAGACAAACTCGGATCACGAAGATGTGGTAAGTTTTTGTATCTTAGCTTTATGGTAAAATTTAATTATTATAGTAGTTTAAGTTTAAAACATATTTGCTAACATGGAACAATCTTTACTTGAAATATATAAATAGATTTTACACTCGATCATTAATAACAAAAAATCTAAAGAAATTAATTCTTGTTTTAATATAAAAACTTAGCAGTACATCAGAAAAGTTTAATAATGATTTTTTATAATAATACTATTATTAAATTATATTATTACCATTAAAATATCTATGAAGCGTTTGTTATGTTCTCTTAATTATACCCGTTACTCGTAGAGTAAAAGGGTATACTAGATTCGTGCAAAAGTATGTAACAGCTAGAAGGAAGCGTTTCCGACCCCATAAAGTATATATATTCTTGATCAGGGTCACTAGCCGAGTCGATCTAGCCATGTCCGTCTGTCCGTCTGTCTATCTGTCTGTCTGTCTGTCTGTCCGTCTGTCCGTCTGTCCGTCTGTATGAACGCTGAGATCTCAGAAACTACAAAAGCTAGAAGGTTGAGATTTCCCACACATATTCTTTGGCTTCCTACGCAGCGCAAGTTTATTTTAGCCGAGCGCCACGCCCCCTCTAACGCCCACAATCGCCCACTAACGATTTTAAAATGGGTCCTGCGCCCACATCTTTAAAGCTTTCTGAGAAGTATAAATGCAATTTTGTTGTGTATATTTATACCTATCGAAATGTAGAAGACATTTTTCAAATCGGACCATTCATTAAAAAGTTATACGCTTTATAAATTGTCAACATATATCTATCTCCCTCGCACTCCCTTTAGCTGAGTTACGATTATTAGTCGGGACACCAACCCGACTATAGCGTTCTCTCTTGTTTTTTATTGACTTCATATTCTAGTATACGATCCTTCTATTCAGAGTTCTTATGTCCCTGACATCTCCAATGGTAACCCCAAATGGGTATCTTGCAGCGTAACATAACCCATGGCCCGTCTCTGCCGCACAAAAGTTTTTGAGTGTGTAAATTGCAAAAGACTATTTGACAAACGTCGGTCAAAAGCACAGGACATGACAGAGTGCCAGGACATCGGGGGCAGGGGATCAAAGGCGATGACCGTAAGGACAACCTGCTCGGGATTTCGGTTTAGCACTCTGCAGGACCTTCTCCTCGCTCAGAGGGTTACCCTGCAGTTAATAAAAAATAATGTGCTTCAATGCGGTTTATTCAATTTTATGGTTCGGACTTTTCAAAAAGCCATGCACACACATAAACACTCACTCGCCCGCTCACTCACACACACAGACCATGACTCTCGTCATCTTCTATACACAGAAGAAAATACAATTCTTAATCTTATAATGGGAAAAATTTGTAAATTAAAATGTACAAACGTACAAATTAATTTGTGGTGTAAATCGATATAAACAGTTATAACATAAAAATGGCGTAGTTTTTATCATTACCTTTTAGAGAAGTTATATATAAAAACAAGAGAGAACGCTATAGTCGGGTTGTTGTCCCGACTATCTAATACCCGTCACTCAGCTAAAGGGAGTGCGAACGCTGTGTCGGGTTGGTGTCCCGACTAATAATCGTAACTCAGCTAAAGGGAGTGCGAGGGAGATAGATATATAATTTTTGATTGCGTATAACTTTTTAATGAATGGTCCGATTTGAAAAATGTCTTCTACATTTCGATAGGTATAAATATAAACAACAAAATTGCATTTATACTTTTTTGAAATCTTTAAAGATGTGGGCGCAGGACCCATTTTAAAATCATTAGTGGGCGATTGTGGGCGTTAGAGGGGGCGTGGCGCTCGGCTAAAATAAACTTGCGCTGCGTAGGAAGCCAAAGAATATGTGTGGGAAATCTCAACCTTCTAGCTTTTGTAGTTTCTGAGATCTCAGCGTTCATACAGACGGACAGACGGACAGACAGACAGACAGACAGACAGACAGACAGACAGACAGACAGACGGACAGACGGACATGGCTAGATCGACTCGGCTAGTGACCCTGATCAAGAATATATATACTTTATGGGGTCGGAAACGCTTCCTTCTAGCTGTTACATACTTTTGCACGAATCTAATATACCCTTTTACTCTACGAGTAACGGGTATAACCATTAGTTATATTAAATTTTTTAATTAAAGTAAAAACTTATTGTCTTTTTTTAATGTGTTGGTTGAATTAAAATCGCGCAGATGGTTTTTAATCAGATAAATTAAATAAGTTTCTGTGTAAGGCCTCCTCCTCTCCTTTTCGGAATCTTTGGTTATATTAAA